ATTTGAATGTTGGTGGTGATACTGAAACTTGTTAAGACATGGTGGTATTGTTTTTTATGTTGGGAATATTGACATCTTTTGATTTTGGTTGGTGGTGACATGGTGATGTTGTTTTTTATATTGGTGGTGATATGGTGTTAGGGGTTTTGTTTGGTTTTTGGTTGTAACTGAAGTGTTCTGGTGTTGGAGGTGTTTTGAAGTTATTTTGGTTGTTATTCAGACATGGTGGTGGTGTTTGTGTTATGCTGGGAATGTTGGATTATTGTTGATGATATTGGAATGTTGGAATATTGTTGGTTGAAACAAGATGTTTATTGTTTATTTTTTGCTCACATTGTACTGCTTGTGACATGTTATAGTTTTTTGTTCATGAATGCAAGTGTTGAATAATGTGTGTAGGAATTGAGTGCATTTCATTGACAACAAAGACATAAATTGTCAAAATGATTACAATGCATAATTATTTCAGAACAATAACAACCAAAAGGATTACAACAAGCAAAACAATCAATCAATTGTTAAACTTTTTCTCCATTTTCTCCATCCTTGACTGCATCTTCTTCACCATTATTGCAACTTCTGCATTTTGGTTTGCTATATTTGCTCCCGTTGATTCAACTTCATCATCATCGTCATAACAAACATCATCTTCATGGATTTGATTTGGCTTCACCCAATTCACCGAGGTAGGGTTAAGCCAGTTAAAAAAACCACACTTGTTGTATGGACAAGTGCAAAATAACTTGCCGACACTTTCTTTTGTTGGACCCACAACCCTAATTTGAGCAAATGTGTTGCACTTACATTTAGGGTGCCTATACCTTAAATCAAGAGCCTCATTTTTTGTCGTCCTTGATTTTTGAGAAGACATTTTCAACCTGCAATCATATTAAAAGATATATATACTAAGGACTCTTTAAAAAAAGAAAAAATTGCTGTTGATGGAAAAAAAATTCTGAAAAAAATTGTGCAAAAAAATTCAAGTCTGTGCAAAAAAAATTGCTGGAAAAATTTTGTGCAAAAAATTGCTGAAAAAAAAAATGCTGCAAAAAAAAGCTGCAAAAAAAAATGCTGCCAAAAAAATGCTGCAAAAAAGATGCGGACCTGTTGGAGAAGATGAAAGAAAAAAAAAAGCATACCAAATAATTTTAGAAAAAAAAAAATTGTACCTGTTTGGCGCCAAATTCTGAAGAGGATGAAGGGATTCTTGCGCCAAAATGAGGTAATGTGATGGAGGAAATAGGGCTGAGGGTTGCTGCCTATTTAAAGGAGTGTTGAGGGGTACAATGGTACTTTCTCGGACTTCTGAAGTGAAATTGAAAGAAATGGTCGCAGCACAGGCGCGTGAGCCACACTTCTGTCAACTTCAACGATTTTGGGTAATTCGCGCATGCAAAACTACAATACAAGGGGGTTTCATGCAATTTTCAAAATACAGGGGGAAAACGCGCAGATTTCGTATAATACAAGGGGGTACTGTCTATTTTACCCAATTTGCGTACTAAAAGTATTTAGAGCCCTATTGGAATTGTGTATAATAGATACTACCTCCTATTCTTTTTAAATGTCATTTTGGTTTTGTTAACTATGATCCAAATAAATGTCGTTTTGGATCTTTTGTACATATTTTTTCATTATTACCCTCATTTAGTTAATAAATATACTACGTCTTTTCATATTCACTCTTCATTTTTTCTCAAAACATCATTCTTTATCTTCATTAAAGAGGGTTATTATTGACAAAAAAAAGTATCCTTAATTAGTGTGCAACTTCTTAAAACGACACGTATTATGAATAGGAGGGAGTATAATATTATTGGGAATGTTGAATAAGTTGGCAACTGTTTAGAATGTTGTGCTAATTCTACACATCTCAATATAATTAATAATTTATCAAATAAAAAAATAATAATAATGATTAATGTCAAATTATTTATTAATTGTCCTCAATTGATTAATCCATTAAACCATCCACTTTGGGTTTTTTCAATTATAAAACCATAATATCTTTTCATTATAGAACCACAATATAAGGACTTAATGTAGTCTTAATTTTATTTATACATCTATCACAATCGTGGGTCATTTTGAAAGTATATATTCTTAACCACATAATATAAAATCTAACATTGTTAATTATATAATGCAGCAAAATTAAGTTAATAAAATTTACAAGATTAAAATTTGTCATTTTTATATGATGTCTTTATGTATTCATTGAGTACATTTTTTGCTGCAAAACATTATAAATTTGTCAAATCCTTTGTAGATAATTTAAACAATATCAATAAATTATTTGTTGTAAAGGCTTAATTTGAAAATATTAATTTATTGTGAATCTGCCTTTTAATTTTTAATTTATTTTTTTCCATTTCTTCTCTTTGTGAGTAACATAATTTTTTTGTTATAAATAAAGACTTAATTTTAATAAAAAAATATTATTATGAACTTGCATTACAATTTTACGTTATTTTTATTTTTCTATTTTTGTGGGTGAGTTCATTTTTTATATATTATATTTTTTTATTTCAAAACAAATGACACAATCTCTTTTAGTTTAGATTATTTTTCAAAGAAAATTTCAAGGTAGTATAGAACATTTATTTTAATGTAATATCCATATATAATGTACAAACTTAATAATTTTTTATATTTTATATTTATATTGCATATAGTATCGATACAATTTTAAAGTTGTTGCTTCAATTTATGATTGCATCATTTAATTTAACACACATGATGTCATCTGAATATTATGTAGTACCACCAAGTCATATTTATCCACATACTTTGTTATGATGGAATTTTCATACACGTCAAGAAAATGTACAATCTCTTCTAATTTAAAAGTGTATCTACTCAATTTTTTAAGTATCTATATAGTACAATAAGTTAACTAAAATATCTATACACCAAATATCAAAATTGGAGATTTTTGGTTGGTTTAGCTTTTTAATAAGACTCAAAATTCTCATTGTATTCCATGAATTTATGTAAGACTCAAAATTCTCAATGTTTGGTTGGTTTAGCTTAAATAAGAAGACTCAAAATTCTCATTGTTTTCCATGACAAAAAAATTTCACACAACATACTAAAGATACAACAATTATTTTTTCTTTATTATACATCACAATTGTTAGTTTTACCTTTTATGGTTTTATTGTTATATATTATAGTTTGAATATGTTATTCTTATTGTTTTCCATGAATTTATATATATGTATTTAAAAAAATAAGTTACATTACAATTATCATAAATTTCATGCAAAATAAGTGTTGGTGTTGACCTAACATTGACGGTGGTCATCTTGATTATCCCATTAATCTAATTTGAAAGTACAATATCTTAAAAGTCTATAAGAAAATATAATTTGATATGTAGACATTATTTTTTTCTTTATTGTTTACATTTAGATGGGCATTCATTGTCATAGTTTGTATGCAAAATAAAAATTAGATGGTTCAGTGTTCGAACATAACATGAAGTTAGGTTTCGTTTACTTCATAATACGACAAAAAAAAAGACTAATAATACAAAATGATATTGTGAAAGAAAAGATGATGACAGACAGAGTGAGAGTATCCCGACCATAAGAAAAGGAAAGAGTGATGGAATGATTTTCATTGTGAAGACTGAGTAAGAAAATATATATTTATCATTTTATTATTCAGTGAAAATCAATATTATATAAGGCCTTTTATATTGATTTCGGTCCCAACCAATTAAAAAGTTTGAGCCGAAAATATATAGTTATTTGATTTAATTTATTTTTAGTTGGTATCATTTGTTCTATGTAGGTCTAAAATTCGAAGTCATCTAGAAGTTTGTTATTAAAAGAAACTATCATCATTTTAATTTTTTATCAATCTACAATTATGTAACAACATTTTTATGAATAAAATAACATTTTGTGTTAAATTTTTATTCATATAACACATTTTTTTAAGTAAATACAAAATATATATTATCACTACTGAACCGTAGTAGTAGATAAAAGTTCAACACAATTTACTAAATGCATCAACAACCTTTTTCTTATCATATATCATTAATGTTTGTTCCATCAAAATAATTTATATTATTTTAGAATTTATGTAATATAATTTTAAATATTTTTTTCTTATTATTTTGCCAAAATTCGGTCAATGTACATTTCTAAAAATATAGTAAATTACATTTCTCATGAATTCCAAGTGAAAAAATGAGTAATATGTTATTGACATGAAAATTTAACGATTAACGGGTCTATCTGTAACTTTACCAAAAGTGATCCCATTATTCACATCATTATCATATCGCCACCACACTTATGATACTAAAAAAATAAATTGTTGAGTTTATTTTTCTAATAAAATATAAAATATGTGGGCCTATTTAAAACTAAATACATGAGAACTAAAATTGAGTCATTTTTTTATTTATTTATTAAGTATTTAGTTTATGCTTTTTAATTTTAATTGACTCGCATATGTTAACTGTAATTATTTGTATAATAGTAATAATGACTTTATTTTGTTCGAAGATGATGAAAACTATTTTATTATAGAGACAATTTTATAAAAAAAAATCAGGGAATTAATATGACAAATACCTAATTCCGTTGAATATCACATATATGTTTTTTAAGTTTAATGAATTTAATGATAAAAATTTTGAAGGAAAAAAAATAAATTTTATTTATTAATCACACACTCATATATTGTTTCTTGAATTATGATTTTTTTAATGAACATTTTAAGATGTGATAAACCAAATAATTATTCTAATTTTTATCATCTCTATACAATTCTTGAATAATTTCTTATTTATTTAAATTATTATGCACATCACTTATAATATCAGGCCGCGCATCGCGCGGGTAGTGTATTAGTTCTTATTTGATTTTGATTGTTGCTGGGAGAAGGTGTAAAGATTGATATCAACATTTTTTTTTTCAATGCCACATAAGTTTGTTAACCAAGATTGCCAATTAAAGTTGTAATTGTACCGGGACCAAAAATATAAATAGTCATAATGGGTCATTTTATCGAGTAATAATCGAGACCTTTGTCACAAGACACACTGAGAGAGCAAAACTTCCAATATGGACATAAGTTGTCAAATATACACACAGAGCAAACTGCAGTTCCAGACTATTCAAAATTTATTGCAACCAAGAACCACCATATATGTATACACAGTCTCCACAAATGAATGCCTACAAATTCCAAGTACAATAGTTTCAATACATATGCGACAGCCTACAATCTAAAATGCCTTCACGACACCTTGTGTTTTGTAGCATCCAATTCTCAGTGTCCTTATATCCAGCATGCCGAGTGTTCCCATCCATATATCTTTCTTCACACAGATCCCTGCAATCAAACAACGATGCAAACAAGTTCAAAACCAGCTATAACGGGCCCGTGTGGTAGAAAGTAGAGCAACCAAGTTTCCATTGCAATATTGACATGTTCAGCAGTTTAACCTTTGAGTAAAAGCATGAGACATACATCTCACATTAATCAGCTGATGGTTAACAAGAATACAAAGCCATCTACTTCAATTTTACTTTAGTTTGCAACAAATTGTATCTGCTTCTTCTTCCAATAGGCTAGAGGAGTTTTTTTTTTTTTTTTTTTTTCTTTTCATTTTCTTGATTGTAGCGTTGAAGAACATATAATAGTTCCAATGTCATTAAAAACTAATCACGAAAGTAATGAGACTAACATGATGTAGCATGCAAAACAATGCCAAACAAAACAAGCATATCATCAGGTAACATCAATCCATACAGATCCACACATGGACTCCATATTGCACATCCAACCAAATCGTTAGAAATATATAAATATATAGAATAAACAAGAATTATGAGAGAAGCACCACAACTGACCTAGGTTACGACAGTCAGAAAGAAACAAATACAAAAGTAGAGCAAGTCCCTGATGACATTCCTTTTGGAAGAAGACATTACAACTAAATTTGGAATGCTCAATGTATCTACACTAGCAAGGAAAACAAAGTTTTATTGTACAAGCAGAAATTTCTCTTATTTTCTGAATGTAAAGGTAAGATTCGTTAAGAAACTTCAAGGACAATATCCAAGAACTAGAAACAAGAAAAAAATAAACTCTGCTACTTCAAGACTAAACAAATCAGGCATATCTAGGCGAAACCAAATCCTTGAATCTCAATCCAATCAGATGAACATTTCACTTGGTATGCCTGATTTTAAAATAGAGCACTTATGCTAATGCAAGCAAAGTGTATTAGTGGTAAAGTTTTAAAACTGACGAGAGAAGGGAGATTGGCATTAAAAAACTCAACTAGAAAACAAAGGTACAATACAAAAATTAAAATCATGGTACCAGTTAAATATAAAAAAGATCCTCACCTAAATAAACATTAAAGTAAACCCACTCAATCGCGTAGGCCAAGCTCCACCTCAAGTTCATCATCCTCCTCAAACAACTTCAGCAAGCGAGCGTACTGCTCTTCACGTTTCTTCTTTTGCCAAAATCTGAAAAGGAAGAATGATAGCAGGCCAACAGCCACAATGGCCACACATACAAGTGCTATCTTAGATCCATTGCTGCCGCCATTTGATTCCGTGTTTTTTCCATTTTTTGGAGTTGATGATTCATCAGCATAAGCTGTATGAAGATTTATTTTCCGATAGTGAGTTAATGGATAAATAGACAGATATCTTCTAAGTCACTAGTAATAGAAGGGCAAAGTAACTTTTTCAGAGGATAACTTGAAAGACAATATTTATCCAAAACAGTACATTCTTTATGCTGACAAAAAAATGGCCATTGATGCTATTATTCAATCATAAGACTATCAAGGGATAAAATTGTTTTGGAAATATCACTCGGAACTTATCTAGAGACAAAGCACATTAATAGCCAACAATCAAAGTGAAGGGCGTCCAGACAAACAGTGCAGTAGGCTCTTATTTCCCGAAACCAGAAACACTTTGGATTCCCAAAGCCAATTCAACAGTTTTAACAAAAATAAACTTCTCAAATCATTAACTATCGTTCTATTGATCGATCAAGATATTTTCTGAAATTCTTCACCACTGTCACGGAAAATCATCTTCTGACTTGTGCCGCAGGAGTTTAAACAATTTAAACTTGAGCCACTAAACTTCATGTTCTCATCTCATACTTGCACATGCACATCCCTGATTATGCAGAAATAGTAATCTACAAACTACTCTTCTTAAATTTCCGTTTACAACAACTGAAGGTGGTCAGCAAGGATAAGTAAAGGCACGAGATTCTGAGACCTCAAATGGGGTGCGATAAAAATTTGACAAAGATGATGGGCATCAAGTATAAGTCAGATAATTACTTGTGATATAACTTATTAAGAACTCTCAATCTTTCCCCAAATTTGTCCAAATCTTTTTCTTCTTCTTCCCTAGTACGCCTGATGAAACGCAAAACTTACAAACAGAAATCTTTTTACACACTCTTTAGCATTTCAATCTTTCGTGACATAAAATTGAAGATAAAAATGACATTTGACGGATACTCTTATTCATATTCCTCTTTAATTGTTTGTCTCCGTTCCACTTCCCACCTTCTCCTTCATAGTTCTTCTACTTTTTATTCCCTTCTAATGGCAGAAGATCAGATGCTCTGATCACAACAAACTATACTCTTATCAACTGCTGAATTCTTTCCCCACATCGACAAGAAACAATAACGAAAGCCAAACTATCAACGGAGACAACGTAATCAAACTAATCATACATGCTAGCTAATTGTAAGCACAACGAATTACTTTAAAATTGGAGAATCAAATAAAGATCCGAGACTACAAGTAATCTCACCTGAAACGAAAAGCAGGAAAATTGCTGATAAGAAGGCGAGAAGACGAAATCCTTTCAGACTTGAGATCTCTCTCATCTCTCGTTCTACGAACTTGCGATTTCACTTTTCTTATGTACAATTGGGTGCTTGTTTCTGATCCTTGTCGTGACCTAACTGTGAGTTACCTTTTACGAATCAGATCCAACAAACTGGCAATATTTTGAATAATTGTAACTAAATTATAATTCTAGAAAACTCAAATTTCTCTTATAATTTGATTTCCCATTCTAAAAACTATTTATTGCTCAAAATTAATGGTGAGGTATTGTCTACATTAAAAAAAATAATAAAAAAAATGATGAAATACACACCTATGCAAATAATATTTTTCACAAAACATATTTATACTAGAAGATTGCTCTTATTAAAATTTAATTGTTTTTGAAGATTTTTTTGGCTAGAACAGATATATAAGACATTTTTCTCCAATCAAATCAATAACGTAAACAATTATTTCCTTAATTAAGTAACTGCAAAATAAAACACACACTGTTATATGAGATACTATATCGGATGAACCGAACCAATGGAACCAAGCAACTAAACCGGATTAACAAAGCAGCTTGAGCCACGACCAAATTTAACTTGAAGGCAATAATCAGGCCGATGATGACCTTCCAAAAGGAGGAGTCAACCACAAGACGAGCTCACACTGAGCTCGACCTGATGGACCAAGAGGTCGAATCGACCAATGAGCAATAGGGGAGCTGGAGAATAAGATGTTCTACCTAATAAATGACCTACCTCATGATGCGGACCTGGTCTCACGGTAAGACAAAAGGACATCTAATTGGGAAACTACAACATCAGAGGATTGGATCACGTGTCGCAACCAGATTGAGTTGCCTGCACCCTTGACAAGTCTGACAATCTGAGACATTGCAGGTCATACAGACATGTAGCTTGGGCAGCAGGGTCAACCCTCGGGGCAAACTTGGGGAAAATAAGGGATCTTATTTATTAAACAAAATTATAGTAAAAAAAAAAAGTTGAATTTTTTAGGGATTTTCACGCTATTTTTTTTTAAACTAATTCAAAATTTTGAAAAGAATCGGTTGTTTTTTTATAAAATGAAACCGATTTTACCATTATATCGATTTTTTTACCAAAAAAAATTGATCCGAATATTTGGTTAAAACAAAGTGAAAAGAATCATCATTTTTTCCTAATAATGCAACCGACTTTTCTTAACATTTTGCACCGATTTTTTTAGCAAAGAATTGAATTGAAATTTATTTAATAAACAATCAGAATAATTTGGTAAGCTTTATGCAATTGTTTCTTTCCTAAAAAAAATGATATGAACTTAACAAAAAAAAAATGATATGAACATACAAAAATTTCAGTAAAACATGATTTAGAAAAACATAAGAATTCAAAAAAATCGGTGCATTCAAATTTTGAAAAGTTACGCACGATTTTTCCTTGTAAAAGTTGCACACGGTTTTGAAATTGATATGAATCTTTTTCCTAAATAATTGGACAATGTTTGACTTTAAAGAACAAAGATGAACCAATTTTGTTAAACTAGAACACGTGGAATCATGAGTGTTGTACTAGTAAAATATTAACAATAAATATTTTTTAAATTAATTGATATTCACTCACCAACTTAATTTATTTACTTTGACCGGTTGAACCAGTCAAATTCGGTCAGAGCCAACAAAAAACTGATCGGTCGGGCCGGTTAAACCGGTCCAGTTTTTTGATAAATTTTAATGTATTTTAGATATTTTTAACTAAATAAAAATAGATATTTAATATATAATGTAAGTGTAAGTTATTTATCAATTAGTTAAAATATTTGAATGTTTTGAATTATCTAAATATTTATTTAATCAACCATGTTTATATGTATATAAATTATATAAACTATATAATATGTATACAAAAATAATAAATTAAATACATATTCCACCACTAGTCCGACAAAACCATTGAAACACTAACTTGAAACCGGTCTTATTTTGAGAAACCTTGCATAACTAGGAAGTGTAATTATTTGTATTGTTTCCTAGAAAATAGTTGCCCAAAAATCCACAAACCATACTCACTTTGGTTTCCGGGTTTTAATATGCTCTCAATTATATATAGATTTTTTTCAATCTTTATCAGCTTTACCATAGAGATGGTAGAAGAATACGGATAAAATATAGAACAAAGCCTCACACAAACAAGGATAGATTTTTCAAAGTTGATTAGTCTATGAAAGCAAGAAAGATTTAAACTATTCAACATGTACTGCAATAGTAGTTTCTCATCACACCAACACAAGTGCTCTTGCAGAAAAGATTATCAAAAGAACAACTCGCAGAATACAAAGTCCAGCTGCTTATCGAACATTCCTTTCTTCTTTTGCTTCAAGGGCATCAACTTCTTCATTCGACAATAGATCAACAATCGGTTCATACACATCCCACTCTTTCCTCTTCCTGGATGGAACGTTTAGTTAAAACTGAATCATAGAATTAAAAATAAAATAAACTGAAAAACCAATACATATTTGTTGGGAAATATATGTAATTTTTGCCTTATTACAAAGCACATAGTTTTGGTTTCAGGACAAAATGGATTGCACCAAGTAAAAAGATTTCCTGAAGCTGTTTTCAAAATGATAAATGCAGTCCACAATATTAACCACCAGGAGAAAAATTTTGCATTGTCACTGTTTATCTGTTTTCAGCTACATTCAGTCAGCACTTACCGTACGACACTTGACTTGTTGCCAAATAGCTTAAATAAATCCACAGCATTGCCACCAGTCTTGCTGAGGTCAGCCAAAACCAAAAGGAAATAAAAACAAGATTTTATTACTATAAACTACNAAAAAAAAAAAAAAAAAGAAAAAAAAGAAAAAAAAAATCATATATTTCTTTATTTTGAAAAAGAACAACTAAAGTGGTTTCAAATATAACAGCAGACACCTGGCCTGGACATGGTCGAATCCTCTACGCCCTTTCTTGTTTATTCTGCTTTCACGGGCTGAAGTCACATTTTGTACAGCAATCTACAGCACGGAAAAGTAAGGTCTATATTATTAATCACAAAACAGGTACGACATTAAGACAAGATATAGAGATAAAATTATGAATCTCACCTCGTAAAGTTGTTCTCTGATGGCAATTGCAATAGCAGGCTGCAATGTCAAATTTCTAAATTAATAAACATGATTACATTAAGCGGAAGGGCTCATAATCTGAAGGGCAATGGTTATTAATTTGTGTAGCTGGTCAATCTTGCATATTTTAACAGTTAACAACCCTGTGTGTTGGTCTCTGGCAGAGTTTTCATGAAGATGAGAAAGAGGAACGCTGATGTGTTAGGAGATTATCTAAAAGTCCTATTATCTCAACTTAGGACCAAATACTCGGAGCATCAAGAAACGTGGTCATACCTTTACCATTATTCATTATACAGCAAGAGCTTTGATTGAAAAACTAATTAATTTTCTTTACCAGATAAAAAGTTCTAGCCAATCCTCCACGACGACTTTATTATTATTATAGTATCAGAGCAGAATTTAAACTCTATTTCTGAAAGACAACAAAAATTAGTTGCAAATAAAATATCATAGTGAAAAATGAACAAAGAATTTTCAAGTTAATTTGTGCATGCTGATACCAGTGTTGCAGTATTTTCAAAACATGTAAACTAAAGTACTTACTCCAACTTCAGGATCTTCAATGCCCATATCTTTGCAAAAGGTTTTGGCAAATTCTTCAGGATCACTCTCAAAGTTGTTTAAATCCTGAAAAGTTCCGTAGGTATATCTTATCAAATACTAAAACAGCAGCAAATACAGATAAAAACTATACTCCACTGGAAGTTCATAATTCTCAGCAGAATAGTCAACAAAAGAGAGCTTGATCTTTCCTACCCAGAGAAAATGGTCCTTAATAAGAATATGGTTAACACGGAGATCAAGCTGAGTGAAAAGAAGACACAAAAACCAAAAGTCAGTACATAAAAGAAAAGATTTTGTTAAGAGACTGAAATAAAATAAATGCTGAACAATATAACCGTGATCTAGAAAGAAGAATGTTTCGGAAATGAACAATGCCAAACCTTGATAGGAACAACCTTCTCGCCAATAAACATATCTTGCCCCTCATATGATCGAAAATCGCCTAACTGAGTCTAAAATAATAGGCATTTGAATCACCAGTCAGACATAAGCTTCCACAAAATAAGGATAGGAGAATATAAATCCTTAAAATGCCAGGTCAAGCATACTGAACAAATCCCAAACATGAATTTCAAATTACTATACTTAAGAGTTAAGACAATTCTGAAAAGACACGAACATGAATATAACAAGCTTACACTGCACAAAAAGGTTTCTTAGCAAGGTCATGTTGACAATAAAAATAGCTAGTCAAGAAAACAAATAATGAACCAACTACACAAAATCTTCTAGTGCATAATAAAGGATGACATTCACCACAACCCTTGTGATAAAACAAGATTATTCCTACAGAGTGATATACCGAGAATAATGTACTTAAGAGTAGGTTAAGTACAATTACTTGAATGGATTGAGCAATCTGTGTGACAAAGGCTGGAGGAAGCTTCAAGTCCTTCACCATTCTTTTTGCAAACACAACGACTTCAGAATCAGGATCTACATTAATAAAACACTTTCTGAAATTACTTAAATTTCAGATCCATTATCACCAAACTAAAACTATAACCTATTAATCAATATTCAAACTACTCATCAGTGTAAATCACACGAAAAGAGAATCCAAGATGGGGATTGTATATTCAAACTACTCATCAGTGTAAATCAAACTACTCTATCTACATTTACCCACTGCCAAAAAATGTTGGAATTGTATATCTCAATAAGATCTTCATTTCTTTAAATTATAAATATTAATTGAAAGAGCTTCACACCCAATTCATCATATCTAAGATACCTTTCTGAATAAGAGGATTTTCAAACGATTAAAGTATGGACAGTTGACAATAATATTTGAAATAATATCTGAAATAATATCCTAAGATTACTGCAAAAGTCACAAAAGAAAATCCATTCATGGAATATAACACCCATATGTTTAAGTATTTGGGATTGGTGAGTCACAAGAATAGAAATTACCGGATGGGTTCCAGAGGAAAGCATCTCTAAGTCGCTGCCCATCAATTTCAATGTCCAGTCTAATTGGTACTAGATTGTCGGCAGTTGGTCTGTATATCATATATATGAAAATACCAAAGTAAATATTTGGCGCATTAGAATAAGTTTACGTCCTAAATATATGGAGAGAAGAGAGCCATTAATTTACATTCGGAACTTGACAGGGTTCTTTGCTGTGCCCCATAGTGAGTGGGATTTCATGCTTAGAAATTGCGCTGCCTCTCTTCTTTTCGCTTGATGAACACTACAACAATTCAACTAGGAAGATACAGGAAGGGTCTCAGCCTAAATGCATCAAATATTCCCTTTAGAAATAACTGCCAATCAGAAGTGAATAAAAATGCACCCCATATTATAATAAATCTAATGAACCTTGTGTAAGCTGGCTAAAAGAAATTTAATCTTGTAAGAGGGTAAAAGAAACTCGAGTGGCCTGTGTTTCCATTCCACCGTGCTATTTGACTAAAACTGAACCAGAGCTTCATATAATAATAATAATCATCAGTTTTGTAAATTTTAAAGTGAGCATTTCACCAAATGTTCATCAGTAGAAATAAGCACAATCTATTAGGTAAAAAAATAAAATAAGGCCTAAACCCTTACATACCACAAAATCAGCACAATAATTTGAATTTAGAAAAACACCTACTTGCGACAGAAATCTAAATAAAAGCTCCTTCATTCGAGTCACCATGCTCATAAACAGATTTTTGTAAACAGTAATGAGGTACATGATTTTAGAAGGAAATAGATTGATGCTGATAACAAGCTCCCAAAATAATCTTATTTGTAACTACTTCGAGGTACTAAACTCTTCAAAATAATCACAGCACTGCAATTTTTCCATCCTTTGCCACTATTCAAACAGCCTTATTTCAGATATTCAAACAGCTCAAAACAACTCTAACTTAGAGCTATACACTTAAGGGTTCATGTGTGGTCTCTCAGATTTTCTCGAAAGAATTTAAGCCCGAACCTGGTTGATCAGAGCAGTTTTTCTTGTTCGTGCCTCATGACCCACGAAAGAGGTAACAGCGACTTCAACACTCAGGCAAGTGAAGCTTTGTTCACTGTATTTGGGATTTTAGGGGTCTTCTTTAGCTTAGCCCTACGAATTCTAATCCTTTTCTTTCCTTTGGTCGATCCTTTCCTAGTCTTGCTCCCAATTTTCACCCTTCTTTCTTTTCATTTTCCTCCTTTTCTTCTTTAGATTAGCCCTTCCTGCACGGGGGAATTAGTTCAAATGACCCTGTGCATTTAACAAATTGGGTAAATAATCCTTGACCAAAAATTTTGTAAAAACTAATTCAAAAATCTATAGAAATAAGGGAAAAAGACATTTATGTCCTTAATCCTATTCTTAAAGAAAAAACCGAAATAATCAAGAATTAATTCTTGAAATACTTGAAAAAACGAGTAGAAATATCGAATTTCTAGATACTTTACTATCAGAAATTCTTGATATTGCAACAAAAGCTGACAAAATTACTAAAAATATTAACAAAATTAACGTAAATAGGTTAGAAGAAACTTTAATAAAATTAGACGAGAAAATTCCACAAATTGAACCATTAATGGAAAATTTAAGTAAAGTAATTTAACTTGTAAATCAAATTGGAAAAGAATTAGGATTAAATGGCTAAAAATCCTGAAGTAGGAAATGTACAACAAATACTAACGATAGTTAGTGAAATAAAAGAAGTTGTTCTAAGAATAGAGCAAAATATACAACAGTCTGATTCTAGTAACTCAGACACTAAATTATTAGAAATAGAAAATTTTTTAATAAATATAAAAGAAAAGAAGTCTATACCAACATATAGACCACCAAATGAATGGGATCTTAGTAATCTATTTAAAACCGGAAGAAAAAGACTACCTGGAGAAAAATGAATAGTGACACTGACTCTATTCAAAGTGAAACTGATATTCAGTCTCTAATAGACAAATATCAGAATATATTATCTTTAAAAGAATTCATTGGGAATTACAGCGACTCTAGTTCAGAAAGCGAAAATCTTGAACCAAAAGATCGAATAAATGTTAAAATCGAAGAAGATCTTAAAGATATTCCCCCAGGACCAAGTAATTATCAAGACACTCATGAGTTCATGACTCCTGAAGAATATATAAATGATGAGTTCTATAATCCAAATGCAGATAGGTACTTTGGAGTATCCGATGAAGAGAAAACATTCCTAGAAATAAATATTCCAGGAATGATGAATATGAATAGAAGTAAGGCAAAACCTTACAAGAAAAATAAATCAAAGAATTATATTCCAAAGAAATTTATTCCTAAAGATAATTCTAATAATCACAATGATAACATACTTAATCTAGATTGTTTGACAAAACCAGTTGAAACAATAAAAGGTTGGTATAATTATATGTTAGTAGTAATACAAACTAATAGAGAAGCATTTGAAGATCTGAGAACATTAAAAACATATTTAGAACTTCATATGAAGGGAAATGTTAGAAACTGGTGGGATTCAAACCCATATGTTCCAAGCCTTGATGCTCTTTGGAAAAAACCAGAAGATAACATAGAATATCTAAATGCTTTGGCTAAACTACTAGTTAATGAATTTGTAGGAGTCAGAGAATTAGATAACACAAATATAGTGTTAGAAGAAAGACAGAAAAAAGCAAAGTTCATACTTGACAATATTCAAATATGTGATATTTGTTATTGAAAAAATTTTACATGTGAATATGAAAAATGGTATTACTTGTTAAAACAAGAAGATAGACCAGCATATGCTGAAAAATATTTCAATAAGCAACCACCATTGTGGGCTTTTGAAATGAACAAAAAGTGGTCTAATAAACCTGATCATATTACAGAAGGATTTGCAGGAAGAGTAAATCTTCTTAAAGAAACCATAGAAGATAAATGTAAAGATACTCAATTAAGAGGAACTCTTGTATGCATCAAAACAAACCATGTTGTGATCCTCAGTTATTAGAGATACCTAATAAATGGGGATGTAGAACTAGAAAAGAGAGGCATTCTCAAAAATCAAAGAATCAGAAGTTTAAAAAATACAAAAGGTACATTCCTAAATATAGGAAATACAAAAAAGAAAATAAAAAAAAAAAATTATAAAATGAACAAACCCAGATATAGAAAGAGGATTGAATGAAAAGAAAAATATTGCCCAAAAGGAAAAACTAACTGTAAATGTTGGTTATGCCAAGAAGAAGGTCATTATGCAAATGAATGTCCTAAAAGAAAAGAAAGTAAGGATAAAGTTAAAATATTTTATGCAATGCAAAAGTTCAACTTTGAACCAATTGAATCTGAGAATGAGTCTAATAATTCAGAATATGAATTAAAATTTGAAATAGAATATAAACAGTTCTATTTCAAACCAAACTCTGAATGGGAAAGTTGCACTGATGATAGTTCTGAAGAATGGAACGATTGTTAAATATAACTAACCCTAATAGTACCTATATCAAAGTGGGTTTTAAATTCACTGGATATAAACTATATCACCTTCATGGATATATAGATACAGGCGCAAGTATTTGTGCTGCACATCCTTTAGTATTACCCATCGAAAAATGGGAAAATGCTAAACAAACAATAATTGCACGAGTTGCAAATAAACAAGTAATTACCTTAGAAAAAGTGGCTTATAATGTCACATTTTTAATAGCGGGAGAAAAATTTACAGTTCCTACTATATACCAACAAGATACGGGAGTAGACCTTTTAATAGGTAATAACTTCTTACAATTATACAGACCATTTGTCCAAGAACTAAATTATATACTGTTACACTTGAATGAAGTACCAGTTTATATAACAATTGTGAAGAAAGCTTACAGTCTTGCATCTAAAGAATTTATGAAAAATAATGCCAAAGTATGAAAACGTGGTGAGGTTATAGATATAAAAAAGAAAAACATTGCAATAACAAATGAAACTAAAAATCCAGAAAGAATTTTTATCCGAACCATGCAATTAAGAAAATAATAGACACTTTAATATCCAAACATCAAATGCTTTACATGTTATCTTTAGAAGATTGTCAAAAAGCATTAAATAAAATAACGAGTGAAAATCCGCTAGATAAAATGCTTAATAAAAGTATAAAAAACCCAGCCTTACATGCTGAAATAAAATTAATCGACCCTTTAAAGGTTATAAGAGTTAAACCAATGTGTTATACTCCTCGAGATAGAGAAGAGTTTAACATACAGATTGAAGAATTACTAAAAATGAATTTAATTCGTCCTAGTAAATCCCCACATAGTAGTCCAGCTTTTCTAGTAGAAAATGAAGCTCAAAAACGAAGACAAAAAAGACGTATGGTTATTAATTATAAAAAATTAAATGATAATACAGAAATGGATGGGTATTTTTTACCAAAGAAAGAAGAACTATTTCATTTAATTAAAAATATGAAATGGTTTAGTACGTTCGATTGTAAGAGTGGATTTTGGCAAGTCCCTCTAAAAGAAGAAAGCAGAAAGTTAACAGCATTCAGTTGCCCAAATGGACAATTTGAATGGAATGTTGTTCCTTTCAGACTAAAACAAGCTCCTGGATTATTCCAACGGAGAATTGATAATGCTCTATGTTTAAAAGACCCGAGCAAAGAATTTAGTAAAATTTGCACGGTATATGTTGATGATATAATTGTCTTCAGCAAAACCGAACAAGAACATTATAAACATGTTATACAAGTACTAGAACAATGTCTTAAAGAAAGAATCATCCTTTCTGAGAAAAAGACAAAAATTGCTCAAACTAAGATTAATTTCTTAGGACTAGAAATTGAAAATGGAAGTCTAACTATGCAACCGCATATCATGACAAAAATATCCGAATTTCCTTCAGAAATAGGAAATAAAAAACAACTACAAAGGTTTCTTGGAATCTTAAATTATGTAGAAGGCTACATAGCTAATTTGGCAGCGATACGTAAGCCTTTACAAGCAAAATTAAAAAAGGATGTCATTTTTACTTGGTCATCAAGTGATACAACATATGTAGAAAAAATAAAGAAAAAACTAAAAATTCTACCCACGTTATATCACCCTCAAGAAAATGATAAAATGATTTTGGAAACAGATGCCTCCGACTCTTACTGGAGCGCAGTTTTAAAAGCAAAACCAGTAGACTCTTGTTGTAGTAATTTTCCGGAGTAGAATCTAAAGATTCGAACACCGGGTCGTGTCTCACGAGGAAGGTCAGCCGGAATAAATTGCACGTCTATTCAACCACAAAAAGGGAAAATAAAGGAAATGAAATTCCTAAACATTCTAAATCAAAGTTTGGTTGGTTTTTGAATTATCAACTACTGCAAGATTTAAATGAGCAATAAAAATAACAAGCGAAGAGGAAGAACAAATAGGATTTAAAGAGCTAGGGAGTCGGGGATATCCGTTTTGGTTCGAAAATGCAATTATCAAGCAAGAGATTGTTCGGTTAAGTGATTTGAATAACCGGCACGTTCAAGCACTCATTCTCAATAACTCTTCGTAACAAGAGAACAAACTTAAACGACAAGTTAACAAGTCATTTAACACCTAGGCAATACAATTACGAACAAGCCTAGTTTATACGAGCCTATTTCGACCGACTCCTCCCCTTTCGGTTCTAAGAGTCGATTAAAAGAGACTAGAGGGTTGTTAATCCACTAATCCGTTTAGAATTATCAACAACATGCATGAATTTATCGAATTCAATTGAAACAATTGGAGATTGAAGTGTCACCCTTCAATAATTCTCAAAATCCAAGAACGATGAATGAAAACCCTAGAAAAAGCTTAACTCGTACAAATTGAACAATCACGAACAGGATAATCGCAAATGAATTCAAAACATCAATCCCCTATTCCCTAGCATATGAATTCAGCCACTCATACCAAATTCAACATCAACATTCATATGAAGCAAAGACATATCACTCATCAATGAAATAAGAGAGAAACTTACGATTAATATGAATCCAGTGTTGAAGAAACAAGGAGCAATCCAAATTTAAGAGTTGAATCTTGGTGTTTTCACAATCCAAGATCAAATTCTATCAAAACTAAGAGAAATACTTGTTCTGGAGTGAATAAAAACGAGAGAGAGTCTAAACCTAGGTGAAGGAATGAATGAAAAACTGAACAAAATCGCAACATAAAAATTCTGCTGTCGCGACCTCCGCGGCCGCGACTTAGACCTCCGCGGCCGCGGGATTTTCATTGCTGAAATTTGGGACCTGGCAGCTTTTCTTCGCCGCGGCCGCGGCGAAGAAAGGGTCGCGGCCGCGGAGACCAAAATCTGCACTGCACCATCTTACGATTTTTGCTCGTTCGGGTT